AGAAGTGCCACGTGTGTTACCTGATAAATGGCTGTACACCCATTACCGTATTACATGTACTGCAGGCATATGGCCTCTCGATATTAGTGAGTGAGTGAGAAATTTGGGTTTAGTGCCGCTTTTAACAGTATTCCGGTTATATCACGGCGTGTCAGCTTGATGTGGGAGGAAAGCCCGAAGTGATGCAAGTCTCAGACGTTTACCACTTCGGTGAAACCAACGAGCACGGGTATGGTGCTGACAAACCTAGAAACATAATCGGGGCGAACCGGGATTCGAACCCACAATCATAGGTTTTTGGCATGCCCAAAGGGACGCAACTCTGCACAGCGAATCGCGGCGACTTAGACGACTGGGCCACCCGTGCCCCCCCTTTCGATATTAAGAATAAACCCTTTATTTATGACGCTGAGTATATATCCAACGGAATATGTTTTCACCAACACCGGAACAAAGGGGCGTTTTCTCTTAGTGCATTTCAGGTGATCAATAGTTCGACATCGTGAACGCAGTGGTGTCTATCAATGCCAATCAATACAAAATTGGTACTTATTTGGAACAAATTTGGAAGTAAGTGCCGTATTAACTAATCACATATATCGTCATTGGACTGCTTTTATTGGTACCTGTCCAACAGACGCTGTCAATACTGCCAATATCATTCTCGTGAAATGGACCGTTCTTGAAACCAATTAAACCAGTCTCGTGCGACAGAAACGGGTAAAACAGAAACCATTTGACAATTTTCCATGTCGACACAATCGATTGTTACACTGGAGATCGACATTATGAAACAATGCAGGCTGAACTAACATCGACGTCAAAGGTTAGAGGCCAAAGGTCAGGTTTATTTTGTTCTATTATGAACACGGGAATTCGTGACAAGAAAGTGAGTTTCTACGGAAGCCTTTTAGGGCCATATATTTTAAATTTCAAGATACTACGTTGAATTTTCAAGAAACATCCTAAGTTGAATTTTCAAGATACTGATCTTGAAATTTTGAGATAATAAGTTGAAATTGCAAGATGCTAAGTTGAAATTTCAAGATATTAACTTGGAATTTCAACTTGTCTTAAAATTTTATTTCCGTAAGTTTAACACAGCTGTCACCAAATGGTAATCCTATGATATAGACAATACCCAGCGCTCACCAGTATGAAGAACTTCTATGATCTGCGGGGGCACGGGTGGCCTTGTCGCCCTACAGAGTTGCGTCCCTTGGACACGCCAGAAACCTATGATTGTGGGTTCGAATCCCGGTTCGCCCCGATTATGTTTCTAGGTTTGTCAGCACCATACCCGTGCTCGTGGGTTTCACCGAAGTGGTAAACGTCTGAGACCTGCATTACTTCGGGCTTTCCTCTCACATTAAGCTGACACGCCGTGATATAACTGGAATACTGTTAAAAGCGACGTTAAACCAAACTCACTCACTCACTAAACCCCATCTTGCTTCATCTCATTCCACATTATCCACATTAGCGAATAGCTGACATAATTGATTGTAAAAGTTTCGATAAACTGTTCCTTAAAAGCTATATAATACCATGTACAATTAAATTTATCATGTCCGCAGAACCACATAAATAGACCGAGTTATCCGTTGTTCCGATATTTCAAAAAGATGGTAAAAAGATGGTACTTATTGTTACCCTGTCTGGCGCTCGGCGTTAAGGGGCTAAAACAAGGACTGGTCGGCTCGGAGTCAGTATACTGTGTCTGAGTGGGGTATTCATGTTAAACTGCGGCATGGTATCTCAGTGAGCTAGCACTATAAATCGGCATCAGTCCGGACTAGTACAAGCAGCCACACACACACACACACACACACACACACACGTGCATGCACGTCGCTATATAAGTGCAATAATCTTGGACGCGACGTTAAACCCAATTTCACCTCACCTTAATGGAACAACCAAACAACTTTTCAACACTTCACTTTTGTTTACAATTACCACAAGAAACAGTTCGTGCTGATACACATGTTGTTTACGTGTTATGAATACACACACCTGTTTCGTAACGTATATAAAAAACAATAACACGTACCTTTACAATGAAGCAATCACGGAACGACTACAAGAGAGGAAATGTTATCCTAGCTCCGCCAACACCTTCAGAAGGGTTTGTATGAGTATCGTGATACTATTCTACACACCTGTACCGACACTACTGTCTACTGAATCACAATTGTTGCTGTTATGTTTCTACTGCAATTACTACGCATGAATTAATTCATGCCGAGGCTACAGTTGTATCTGAGTCACAGTTCAGAGGTCATTGGGTGCAAGCGTGTCTCATACATTTGAGACAACAGATTATCAGCTCATGAATAGCAACCATGACCATAATATTCGTTATGCTTCGTAGTCGTACGGTAAAGCTGTCCATATTATGACACAGGTGACCAGGTACACTATAGTCATACATGCAAATACGTTTGAAGCATTAGTGGACATGGATTAGGGATTAGGAACTAAATAAGCCTTCGAGGCAATTACATAAAGAAAGGACGCGATTATACACCCACGTGCGATTTCTAAACGTTTATTTGGTTAAATATCGATATATTATTTAATATACTCAAACGCAAAAGAAACCGAGGTAACCGTTTTAGTCAAAATTCAGTGAAATATTAAAGCACAACGCAAAACTATTTCTTGAAAGATTTACTTGAAGAATGGCCTAATATGCTTTCGTAGATTATTAGCTGTTTTGAATCAAAATAGAAATAAAGCAACAAAATCATTTCTTAATCACAATTACTCTTAACTCCAATGTACGATTCCGACTATATGATAACTGTGTGTATGTGAATCACTTTAATAGTGATTATCACAGGTGTTAAAAGGTGAGCTTATCCTGCCCAACGATGGCACCCGTCACAAACACACGCAAAGGCAAGTTTAATGTTCACCTGAATTCAAAATACGCAATTGCATAGGACGTCATCTCGATCACCGACGCGTCACATTTGGAGTGAGTGAGTGAGTGAGTTCGGTTTTACGCCGCTTTTAGCAATATTCCAGCAATATCACGGCGGGGGACACCAGAAATGGGCTTCACACATTGTACCCATGTCGGGAATCGAACCCGGGTCTTCGGCGTGACGAGCGAACGCTTTAACCACTAGGCTACCCGACCGCCCCTCGTCACATTTGGAAACTATGACTTCCTTCAAACCCTTTGAAAGCCTTTCTTATGTCTTCAATAAAGCAACCCTGATAAAACAACTTTTGACCAATCAATGACACGATAGTACCTCAAACGCTGTGGAATGTGGATACCTTTTTAAAGCTGGACCTGCTGGAATATTGCCCGACATGAAGGGAAAGTTGAAGTTTTCACTTTGTCATCTTGAGGATACTATTTTGCTTATTTGTGTTTGCTTGCTGTTTAAGGCCACACGCAGCAGGTCTGTAAACAATCGAATCTGAACCAGACAATCCAGTGATTGACATCATGAGCATCGATCCACGCAATTGGGGTACGACACCATGCATCAACCAATTCAGCGAGCCTGACCACCATACCGTTGACTTCTACGACAAGCATAGTCGCCATTTTCGGCAAGGATGTGTTTCTTCACGGGTGGGATAGTATTTTGTCACTTATATTTGACGCATATATCTGAATATGAAACTGATGCGGCGGTTTCGCAGGTCTTTTTTATTTCTATCTCAGGTGGGAAAAACATATGTGCTGTCAGGAGGGGCTATTTGACCATTATTCAGTCTGTAAATCCATATAATATACATTAGTATCATCAGCATCAGCATCAGCATCTTCATCATCATCATCATCATCATCATCAGTTGTCAGTAAATGTACAACATAGATATATTTGTGTCCAAACAGGTACGTAAGAGACAACTAACGGGATCGGGTGGTCAGGCCCGGTGACTTGGTTGATGCATGTCATCGTATCCCAGTTGCGTGGATCGATGCTAATGACATTAATCACTGGATTGTTTGGTCAAGTCTCAATAAATTACAGACCACCATCATATAGCGGGGATATTATTGAGTGCGGCCTTAAACAACAGCCAACAGCAAACAAGTCAAACAGGTATACATACGACATATAGCAATGATATAAATGGCTGGTAGTGTTTGTAATGCTTAAAACATGTACAGAGACAAAAAACAAAACCACCTCCGATATCATCAAAACAAGAACATTTCGTCGTAAATTATAACAGGTAATGATGGTACCAGACACAAAAAACAACGTGGCTGTCGTCGAAAGTCATCACACACACCGCTGGGCGGCGACACGCCATGACTAGCACGCGGAGTCATTTGGTACAGACAGTTATAAAAAAAAGGGTGCCGCTAAAAAAGTCAACTCTATGTGATTTACTAATGATGGCATTAACTGAAGGAAGTAGGAACATTGGTGACAGAATTATGTACATCAAGAAACTGTTTCACATATGGTCCCGTTTCTTTTTACATTAGTTGTAATGATCGGATTAAAAATAACATTCTTGAAACTTAATTTTGTTTTTCCTATAAAATAGTATTGGTAGGATGAAAAAAAATCAAGTTCTCTAGTTTCGGTATTTTTGTAAAATATGACATGAATTATAGTTTTGTATTGTTTACATGGTAACATGGTAACAGGGCTGTGCGGAGTACCGGCGAAGCTGTGAATAGTATTTGAGGAGCAATTACGGGGCGTTGAGCATGTACCACTTGTCACAATCAGGTGGTGAAACAATTTGTATCCAGAGGCGCAGATGAAAGATAAAAAAATCTTTTCACCCACAATTAATTTTTTGCCACATTCCTGATTCGGCAGGGACAAACCAAGGGTCATGACGAGGATTGGGCACCGTGCCCCTTTAAATTAACATGTCACTGACCCAACTAAGAAATGTGTCAGTAGAAACCAAAGTTGTTTGCATTGATAAAATGTTATACAAAACAGATGACAATATCACTATTATTTAAGTAGGTATCACTCTCTATCCCTTGTATGCTGTAAGCCTACCTTGATCAGAGGAGACCGGGCTCTCGTCCCATATGACGTATAGGGGATATCCAACTGTCTCCACGTCCTGGAGGGACCTCAGTCTGGGGGAGAGGTTCACCAGGGGTGGGGCGCGGTGCCTCCGGGAGACCACATGAGGACCATGGTGCCAGTTTCCGGCATAGATCTGAGAGTAGCTCTTCACCTGTTTCTCCATTATAACGGTTTATCCTTGTTGTGCACTCAGTATATCAATTATATCCTTGTTGTGCACTCAGTATATCAATTATATCCTTGTTGTGCACTCAGTATATCAATTATATCCTTGTTGTGCACTCAGTATATCAGTTATATCCTTGTTGTGCACTCAGCATATCGCTGTCATATCATTGTTGTAAACTCAGTATATCACTCTTATATCCGTTCTGTGTAATCGATATATCATAATTGTTTTCAGATGATTCAGTAAAAAAATGTTATCTCTTCCAATATAATCGTCAAATCAGCACATTCAGAATGTACACGGAATATCCATGCTATCCTTTAAAATGTGCGTAGTATATCGATGTTATCATCCTTTAAATGTACCCATAACACATTGTTATCATTTACAGAGTATATCCCTTTCTCACTTACAATATATCTATCCTGTAACATGTAATCAATATAGAATCTGATCTGTGTTATCCGTTATCCTTCTCATCGTACTCTATCACAGTTATCCTTGGTTAACAGTTATCCATCAAAGTTGTCAGTTTAACACTCAACTGTTTCTGTAGGTAGATATACACGATATATAACTACGTTACCCAAGACACAACAAGCTTGCCTGATGCAGGGTTGTCAAAATGACACCGTTATGTTAACAGTTAACTGTTATGTTAACAGTGTCCATCACAACAATCCACGATATAGCTTAACACCAATCACTGTACACACACACTCTGTAATGATGGCTATCACATCCTCATCCACCAAACGACATCAGTTGTCTTCTTCACAGTTAGAAACTGTTATCCTAACTAAAAAGCTGTTATCCTCCTCTTTATCCTAAGCACAGACCCACCATCGTCTTCACATTGTTATGTAATGTTTCAATCTTCGCCGTAGGTATTATCCAGACAACGGATACCATCAAACACCTGACTGACAGTCTCTCACGGCTTGGCGGAACGTACAAGCCTGTCCAGGGTGTTGTTCATACCAGTTATGTATAAGTAACACAATGTAAACACGGAGCGAGGGGCTCCCTGTGTCCGGAAATCCAATTGGCTGGCTACTGAACGTGCCCGCTCCACTAACCAGAGCGTTCTCACTTGCCGCGGGGGTACAAAATCCAGCCGGGAGCGTTTCTACTTCTGACGCACATCAAGCGGCACGGCAGTGCACATGATAACTCCCATCACATAATTGTATTACAAGTTGTCGAATCTGATATGACACTGGCTTTCATCACAAGACTGAGACCTCACAAGTTTTGGAGGTTGCCCGTAGGTGAAAACTGCTGATCAGGTCGGCCGATTGACCAGAAAAGTCCATGACCTAACTGTCCGTTGGCAGCAATTAATCGCACATATTTCTTCCATTTAGACCTGTCAGGTTGTGAAATAGGTTTAGGGCAATGGTGTGATTTTGTAATAATACATATGGGTCTATACGTATTGTCTCCAGGGCCGGATCATGGTATTATTAAACATAAAAAAATGTCAATTTGGCATTTTTTACTTAAGTCTGAGAAGGTGAGTACATGCACTCCTGTTTGTAACAGTAAATCCATTAGTTATGAAATGACCCAGGTGGCGGGATTGACGGGAAATAGATTTGCTGTAGACCGATTTATACCAGATTGACAAGTAAATGAGAGCGGTTCTTTACCCGACTGACAGGCATGAGCTTAAGCTCTGGATTGAGCATGTCTGAAAACGCTACGCGTTGGTTTGAATAAACTCTTGTGTGAATGCGTTCTGTACCTCTCGTGTTACGTCTCTCCCGTCAAGCGACAGAGCGGGGCGTGAAATGAGATCTTGACTATGATGAGTTGCATGTACTAGTGTGTGCATACATACATGTATCTCTCCCTAGTATTTAGGTTCGTAGTAAGCCACTGCACGAACACGTTTAGGTTTCTTACGAGAAAGTATTCACGGGGGTGTTTTAATCAATGTTATTATAGAAAGCATCACGATCTGTGTTGTCAGCAAATTCGAACATCATCATCATCATCATCATCGTCGTCGTCGTCAGCGTCGTCATCATCATCATCATCACCACCACCATCGTCATCATCACCACCGTCACCATCACCACCGTCATCATCGTCATCATCATCAATATCATCATCTCATCACCATCATCATCATCATCATCATCTCATCACCATCATCATCATCATCACCGTCATCATCATCATCATAACCATATCAATACTAGCATAAGTATCTTGATTGCTACCATCCATTTATTATATTTAGTATTTTTATCATTATGATCCCTATCATTATATTATGGGGATAGCGTTCACGCGTCACACTCAAGGCCTGGCACGATTCTCCACATGGGTACGTCGTGATATTGTTGGTAAATTGATAAAAGCGGCGTTTAAACTCCTTCACTCATTACTGATTCATTATTATCCTCATCATCATCATCATCACCCGTCACCACTACAAAAATAACAACGAAGATAATAATGTTTGCATATCTTATTTTGATGTTGCTGATCTTTTTGTTATTATCTGTAAGATACCGAGAATACTGTCACCAGCAGAAATGCTCGTTTTTACTGTTCTATTAAGCGAACAGCGATGCCTGTAGCCTGTTATGACCTTGTGCGATATGATACAAGCACACATGAGAACACGGTCCGTGAGTAGCGAGTGTCACTAACTCCTACAACCCACTGGTGATAGGTCGGCGTTATCCCATCACCGCATCTCTTGACCTGTCTCCCTCATATCCTATTGTGACAAATGTCGAGTAATCTCCTCACACGGGACATCCTTAACGCCAGCGTGACACGAACACTTCCTCCATTGTTGTGTTCCGAGTTAGAATAGGTCCCAAACAACCCAAGCCTGTCGCACTAGGCGATTTAATGGGTCCGACTCGTTTGATTGCGTGTTATCGTAACCCGCCGGCGTTGCTCATATTATCAATCACTGGTTTGTCTGACCTAGACTTGATTATCTACAGGCCACCGTCATATAGCTGGAATATTGCTGGGTGTGGCGTTAAACAACGAACAAATACACAAAACATGGTTTCAGTCCTTTGAAGGCAATTGCTGTATATAGCATTAAACCGACTAGAAACGACCATACGCTTTGTTAGCAGATAACTCAAATATCCATTGATTGACTCATCATTTAATAATATATATCTCACGGACGGGTGTACACCTGTGTACATCGAACAGATTACACACAAAGTAAGACGATTAATCGTTTAAACGTTGAGAAGACCGACCGGAGCGTTTACAAAATTTACTAACCATTAACTGGTTAACAATAGATGTTCTCTGTGCTTTAACTATTCAGCTAAGATTGGAATTCGTATCATCATCATAACAACCACGCCTACAGCGTGGCGTCGCCTGAGTCAGATCGATGTTAAAAACGAACCAAATTTTACATTTGGTTTTACAGGTAATATGAGGTTGGTTTGTTGTTTAACGCCGCACTCAGCAGTATTCCAGCTATATGACAGCGTTCTGTAAATAATCGAGTCTGGACCAGACAATCCAGTGACAATCATGAGCATCGATCCCCACAATTGGAATACGATGACATGTATCAGCCATGTCAGGGAGCCTGACCACCCGATCCCGTTAGTCGCCTCTTACGACAAGCATAGTCGCCTCGTACGACACGTATGGGTTGCTGAAGACCTATTCTACTCCGGATCTTCACGGGAGAGAAACATGATGTAATTATATTGAGACGATCATGGTAGAAAATAGATCAATGCACAATCGGAATTATTTAGTTGGAGTAACTTCGCTCAGTGTAGTTATGTAACAGTAGTGATCTATGTCAGCCTTCTTATTCGGATTCGGAGTGGATAAACTAAAGGACGATAACGTAAGCATCTATTAGGTTACACTATTTTCGATATGAGTTAAAAAGATACAGTGTTCCAAATGCATTTCAACCGAGATCTGTTTTATTAATAGTTGGGAAAAAATGTTTTAAAATGATTTTGTCGTTGCATTTTGTTTCAATGTATTCAAATAATTCGAGACATTATTTACTTCTAATATAATGCATTGCAGACTGCTCCCGTCTTCCATTAGGTATGGCCATTCTTAACTTTCAGAACTTATTGAACTTTTTTATTTCTCAAAACCACCTCAGGTGGTACAAGCGCAATGTATTATATATTTGACATTTAATATTGACAACGAGAGGGTTATGATATCTTAGATCACATTTTCGAACATATGATTGATATAAATATGGATAAAGATTTCATATCATTCAAATTGGATGAACAAAATAGGCGCTACAAAGAGAGCATATTTTGCCAATGTAAATACTTTTTAGTCATGTACAGATTTCTGTCTTCTATGAATGCCTATCATCGAAAATTTTAATGGAATTCGTCGGCAATAGCTGGTGATTTACACCGTTTCTTTGTTCCCATGCCAACGGCTTGTTTCAACACGAAGAAAATGATTAGTAGTTATATAGTTAGGTCTCTTTAAAATAGGGTAAGAAATCGCTTTTGGGCACGTTTAATTTATTTGGTGAGAGATGGAAGTTGTTCAACAATTGATAGTGATTACCTTGCGAACTAGCTCAAATATCGCTTCTCCATTATAAGGGACTACATCCTTCGCACCCTTTCAACAGTTATGGCAATCAATTCGTTATAAAAATATTGAGGTTCCAAAAATACTTCAGTCAAGCTGCAATTATTAAATAACTGCTCTCTACAGAGCCAAGAGTACACAGTCGAGTTTGCATCACGATCATGAAGTTGATCAAGGTAACATCATTCAAGGTCTTAGTAGAGCTTTCAAAACGTTTTATGGTTGACACGTGGTGGAAATTTCTAAGGTTTAGGCATCAGTGACAAACGATATGTCCGATGCAATTCCCTATTAAGACTTGTACCATGTGTTCCCGTGTTTTGATCAGGTGAACAATTTACTTGCCTTTGCATGTGTTTGTTCCGTTGTTACTTAATATAATCTGCCGGGCAAAGTTTACAACCAAGATTGATTGTGGCTAAAATGACAAAAACAGGAAATTGGTATTCGATGGTGATGTATTTGATAGTCAATTCAAATTTCAAGTTTTTACTTTCTTTTGCCCGTCATTTCAAGACACGCCTTGTGTGAGTGAGTGAGGTTTAACGCCGCTTTGAACAGTATTCCAGTTATATCACGGCGTGTCTTCAATAGTCGAAGCCGAAGCCAATAACTACTTTGATGAAATCCAGGAGCACGAGAATGGTGACGATAAGCCACGGATCAAATCTAGGATTCGAACCCCGGACCACTGGTTACATTCCGCATCCTTAAATCCATTAAGACAGTACCTGAGAGTACCCGGGTTGGAATAGCTCCCCAGCATCCGACGCTGGTTGCAGAGGCGACTTAATCGTTCATAACGTGTCATGGAACCCCGACGGAGTGGATCGCTGCTCATGATATCAATCACTGGTTTGTCTGGTCAGACACGTAATTTACATCTGCCGTCATATAGCAGTAACATTACTGATTGTTGTTTTAATCAACAAACAAAAAAAGCATTCAGACAATAGTTCCTCCCACGGCAGTGTACGCCCCCAAACCTGATCTGCACTCTCTCCGGGACATTAATTACATCATTACTCGAGACAGCGTGACGCACCATTGCAAGACGGGGTATGCACTAAGGGCATAATTTTCTAACTACAATTGTATTCAGTTTGGCAGTTTTTATGTGAAGGAGGCTCGCATAATTCTTGGTAAATTCGATTCGAACATTTATGCAATTGATTTCCGGTCTATTCTGACCGAACGGAGCAATGAATGTAATTTGTAGTCGGCTTCAAATAGAAATAAAATCGGGAAGAGACTGCCACTGAACATCCCGGGACGGTTGCTTCATCAGGAATTTGTTTTGGTTAATATCTACATTCCACCTACATACATTGTTGTATGTAAGTAGTTTTAGTATCAATATTAACAATAAAATGTAAAATATTTGTAGTAATTATCAGTGGCAGCCAATGATTGAACTGATTGTAAAAAAATATCCATTGCTGTCGTGATCAGATTTGAACAGCTTCGGTGGGAGGTAGTGGAATTTAGAGTTACCTCC